AGAGAGAGAGGGAAAGAGAGAGAGAGAGAGAGAGAGAGAGAGAGGGAAAGGGATTTATCCTTCGGAGAACACTTTCACCTCGTCCCTGCCTACGCCTTTGTGTCGTTGGAAGTCGATGAACCTTGGAAGCAACGATACTAACGACAACGACGATGATTATGACGATGATGATTACAACAACGACAGTGTAAACAATAGCCAGGACTTATTCTTAACCCTTTGAAATAAATCAACTTCGAAAGGTTCAAAACCCTTTTCTTAATTCCATCGTTGTTTATCTATTTCACGATCAGGTTTCATTTTTCTATATCGTGACTACCACCACGTTAAGTGACTCGTTCAATTTTCTGCTAACATGCAAGAATCTATGTTTGACTGTAGTTATATACACCCTTTTTCGTCAGATACGTAGGATTATTATTATTATTTTTTTTTTTTTTTTTATTAAATTATGCTTTATATTTTTATTTAGGAATACAAATATTCTAGATTTTAAATAATATTAAAAGAATACTAAAATTTCTATTCTAGGAAATGTTTATTTTGTTATTTTTTGTTTTTGTTTTTAATATTATTAAGTATTCATTTAATCTTATTTAGAGTAACAATATTATCTAATCCTAATTGTAAAATTGTAAAAAAATTGTAAAATATTAATTAGAAATATTTCAGACAATATTTTATAGTAATATTTTATCAATTTTGTCCAAACTTTTATCAAATTCTAATTTATTGGACGATTTGTGAAATGTTTTACGAAGTTTATTGAATAAAAGTAGAAGAGGAAAAACAATATAAAAAAAAAAAAAAAATAAAGAAGCAAAAGATGATGATGAAGAAGAAGAAGAAGAAGAAACATTTTTTTTTCTAACATATAAAAAATTACACGAGCTGGACCGAGATGTGTTTGATATCCAAAGAGTGTCGAGTAGCGAAAAAGATGACAGATCGATTTCACTGAAAGTTTAACTAAATCTTAAATGAGAGAAGAAGTAAGATAGGAAAGAGAGAAAGAGAATACACATGGCGCCTTTCAGTCTACACGTTCGGCCTGTTTCTTCACTTATGTTAGTTCTCTAGACAAGTTTTGCGTTCGCGTGTGCAAGGTACCTTTTTGCATATCTAATTTTCCGATTTGCATAATATGAAAACAGCTGGGAATGTTAGTTAAATTGCGAGGTAAGCATTTTTACCAATTATTAACATCGATCTATAATCTTTCCTTTGAAAATAAAACTAATAAACATTTGTTTCTAAACAAAAGTATACCTATAATATAATTTACAAACACTTTTGAACAATTTTGGCATAGATTAACCCTTTCAGTGCTGAATACTTTTAACTAAAATGTTTTTTCTAGAAACGGAATAATTTATTAATAATAAATTATATTTAATAATTAAAGTTTTTCTTTCTGAATATAATTTAATTAATTACTATAAATATTACACATTATTTTACATTAATATTAACAAACACATATATACGTCTATAGCACTTTAAGGGTTAATTAGGCTAGAATTTTTGGTTAAAGATGAAAGATAATAATCTATTAATGTTGTAACTTACTATTTAGCGGAATCGTTAAGTTGATACTCATTGCTCCTTCCAAAACATCCTTGGACACCATTATCAGTCCAGAGCCTTTTCATAGCCATTAAAAGTTCTTCGCTAAATGGTTCGGTGTCTTCCATCCGTTGGATCACATCGAACACCATTTTGGCGTCAGTCTGAAAAATTCAAATTTGTTTATAATATAATCTAATGAAGAAATATTTTTACGGTTACAATTCTACAGTTTTATAAATATTTTTAAGTTGATATATTACTAGTCGTCATGAATGTAATGTTTAAAATTATATAAATTAAAATATTTATAAATCGTTAAATAAATTATCTCTTTAATTATTTAATTAATTAAATAATTATAAAATGGTTAAGTTAAGCTTTGTAAAATGAAATAAAATGCAGTCAAATCTTTATAGCTTATTAATGACATTAATACAAATTAAATTAGGTTAAGGGTAAGAAATATTTGTATGATTACTGTTTTATAGTTTTACAAATATTTTTAAATAGATATATTACCAGTCGTCATGAATTTAATGTTATATTATATAAATTAAAATATTTATAAATCGTTAAATAAATTATCTATTTAATTAATTAATTAATTAATTAATTATAAAATGGTTAAGTAAAACATAATAAATCGTAATAAAATATAGTCAAATCTTTGTAGCCTATTAAATATTATTATTAATCAAATAAAATTAGGTACATTTTTGATCTATGAAACAAGCGAGATCACACGCTCCCATAGCATCAAATTAATTTATTATCATCTTGAGAAGATATAGATGGAAAGCATCTTAAACGAGTCATACTCCCTAGTGTAATATTTCATTACTGAAACATTAGACATTGTCTGACGTTTTTGATTCTAACGTCGACGAAATAAGAGTATACCGTAATAAAGATAATGCATCAAGCATCGTTTTATGAAACTTTCATTTTAATTCTTTTTAATTTCGACTCAACAGAAAAATTAAACGAATACAAAGACAAGTTTTCTCAGCTTCTTTACTTCCGATGATCTGTTCGTAATTTTATCAAAAAGAAAAAAAAAAAAAAGAAAAAAAAAGAACCTTAGATAAAAATTTATCTTTAAATGCAAGAATCAAAATATTTTCATTTTTTATTTTCAAATGCAAGTATCAAATTTTCATTTGTGTTCGCGATCAATGTTAACATTAAAAATATATTAATCATTTTCTTTTCTTTTTGTTTTCCTTGTTTCTTTTTCTTTCTTTTTTTTTTTTTTTTATTGTTCTTAATTTTTCTTTTTTATTTATTTTTTTTTTTTTCGTGAACATTCAGTAAAGGTTTCCTTCTCCGTTGATTTAACACTGAATGCTTCCTTCATAAGATAATCGTCGAACCGTAACAAATCGCATGCAGGATGGCGCTTTAACAGCAACATGCTCTTCGAAGCAAGGCCAATTTTGAGTATGTTCGTTTATTTAACTATGCGCTTCCTTTAACTAACTATAACTATAACTATAACTTTTTTTCTTTCTTTCTTCCTCCCTCCCCCCTTTTTTTTAAACTTTCGTTTACTTTTATATCATCGTAACCGAATTAAAATAATCGATGTTAAAAGTGAAATCCAAATTTTATCTTATCTAATTCGCGTTCATTTAGTATTATAAGATTACAAATTGTTTACGTAATTATCACATTTCTAATGTATTCAAAGATTAAATCTTTTTTTTTTTTTTAAATTCTTCACTGAACAAAAAATTGTCCAATAAATTTTAATTCTACGTGGATTTATTTTACCTAGTTGTTTTTAATATTTTAATATTTCGTAGTATTATTAAGAAATCTTATCATATTTAAAAAAAAAACAAAAAAGAAATGAATAAAACGAACCATCATACTTTCTAATGTATTCAAAGATTGAATATTTTTTAATTATGAAATTATATATTTATAATAAAATATATAATATAACATTATATATTTAATAGAAATATATTATATAAAATTATATATTTTTAAATACGTAATAATGAAAATTTATCGAATAAATTTTAATTCTACGTGGATTTATTTTTCCTGTTTTTTTTTTTTTTTTTTTTTATTTAACATTTTAACATTTGATAATATTGATATATTATCAAAATCTAATCATAAATCTATAATAAAAAATGTAATCAAGTTTCTAAAAAAAAGAAAAAAAAAAGAAAATTAAAACTACCACGTTATATTTTATATAATACGTTGAAATATTGAAATATTGTTTAAATTTTTCATAAAGATTTAATGTGAATAATTATCGATCGTTTTTTATAATATTATGTACACAAACGCTATGGAATGTGTTACATATGCATGAATATATTATATATGTATATATAAAATCGAATTATTAGCTTGAAAAAAAAAAAATGTAAAGCATCCATCCACCGATCGAAGTTTCAGTTTAAACCAACCCCCCCAATACATATATGTACATATATATATATATATATATTTCAACCCCGGTTCTCTCGACATTCTTCAAGCGCAACGCTCGTGAAGGATGCCAAGTCGACGAGTTAATTATTTTCTCACCTGTTGCGGATTCGTATACGATTGTCATCACCACTCGACATCGTTATTTTTCTCAAGCGTGATAATTTAATTGACTTTCTAAATTCTCGTCGATTAATTTTCTTAATTATATTATTATTTGATGAACGAACCAATTTTTCTAAACTCGCAACATTAAAAAAATATTTGCTTCAAATGACAGTAATATTAATTGATAGATCAAAAAAAAAATATAAAAGATAGGAATATATATATATATAATAAATATAAATAAAAATAAAAATATAAATAAATAATAAAAAAAATATATTAAAAAAGTATAATATAATATATTAATTTTTCAATAATATAATATAAAAATATAATAAAAATATATATAAATAAAATAATAATAAAATTTTACTTATATAATTATATTATATAATAAATATAAATTTAAGAAGTGATATGTTAATGAATTTTTTTGTTTATTCGTTCATTTGTAAATAAATGTTTAGAAATTTTTTAACTAATCCTACGTTTTTCCTCTTAGAGGATTTGGTTGAAAAGTTTTCAGCCCCAACATAAAAACAATTTCTTTTTATCTGGTCAAATTTTTCTTTCTGTTATTTATTCCACCATAGTTTGGGAAAACTTTTCAATCCATTCTCGTACGTATAAACAAACAAACAAACAAACAAACAAACAAACAAACAAACAAACAAACAAACAAACAAACAAAAACGATGACCACCAATTAATTTTGAATTGATGAATAGAATTTTGAACGAAATATTAAATGGATAATTTTCTTTTAATAATTATATTTAAGAATGTTTATATATCAACCATACATATGTTAAAAAAAAAAAGAAAAAAAATTGGTTATCCTTATGATGATGACTTACATACCTCTCTCTCGTTGGTAGAGAAATTTAATCCGAGCGTTGGCATCGCTCTGAGAATAGCAACGAGTGATTGTATCGTGTTGCTATAAACGACGGGTCTGTACTGTTTGAAGTCCTCCGGCGTAAAACCGCTTTCGTGAATGATTCTGGAAAAAAAAAGAAGAAAAAGAACAAAAAATAGATAAAAAAGGTAAGAAAAAAAAAAAGAAGAGATCGAGAACGCAAGATAAAAGAGAGTTGAAAGAGAACGCAAAAATACGATTCTTATTTAAACGGGATGTATTTATTTATTTATTTATTTATTTATTTTTGTTGTTGTTGTTGCAGTTCTTGCAAAATTAAATCTCATCTCTCAGTCGTTAAACACACTTTTAACTGTTTAAAAAAAAAAAAAAAAAATATTCATTCAATTTTTCTGCCAACGTAGTTAGTGAAAAGTAAAAAAAAAAAAAGAATAAAAAAAGATAATACAATTAGAAAATATCGATATGTTGTCAGCGATAAAATTGAATTATCAAGTATATGCGACAATTGAATTATCTTTATATTCAATTTCTTATTCAAATGTTCTAAAACCAATTATAACCACAGAAAAGAAATAAAAAAAAAAAAAAAGATAATAAAAATAGGAAATAGATTGTAGACAACGCGAATATTTACAAAATTTCGTAACGAGTAATGAGGGTAAAAAAAAAAAAAAAATGCAATTCTACGTAAAACATGGAACAACCCATAAAGAGAAAGATTCGTTCATAGAAACAGAAAGATATAGATCGAGTTCGGTAAGGGGAAATGAGATAAACAAAAAAGAAAAAGAAAAAGAATGAAAGAGAGAGAAAGAAAGAGAAAAAGGGGGATGTGGGATTCATGGTATACACTTTAATTTACCACTAACCATACGTGGTAGGTTTTGAGTTTTTATCTCGTTTCTAACATAACTTCCTATCTCTTTCACTAATTCTCACTATTTTGCTTATGTATTTGATGTGAATGTACTCTCGCACACGTGTTTCACCCAGCTGCCTTTTAAAAGAGTCATGCTATGGTTTTACCCATAAAAGTTACGTGCAAATATCGATTTTGAGCACGAATGAACGAATGAACGAAGGGCAACATTTTGCTCCTATAAAAATTGCATTATATTTTTTACATACACATATGTAGGCGTATATACAAAATAATATATATATATATATATATATATTTATATATATTGGGTTGTCTGGAAAGTTTGTGCCTATTTTCGGTAGGTTGCATTAAGTTCTTTTGCTAAAAGAACTTGGGAAGTTCTGGAAGAACGTAATTTTGAAGTTACCCATAAAGATGGAAAAAGGTTGTGGAATAGAATGGCACTTAGATATAATTTAATAAATATAAAATTATATAATATAAATACTATAAAATATATAATATAAATAATAACAATAAAAAAAAATATATAATTTAATTAATTTTTTCTATATATTATATATTTTATATTTATATAATATATTATATATAATTATATATTTATATATTTTATATTATATATTATTATATTAATATATAATTTAATAAATATATAAATAGAAATAAAACTTAAATGCGTTGCATTTCAATCTTTCGTCAAAATCGGCACAAACTTTCTGGACAATATATATATATATAATATTATTATATTATATAAACGAAATATATTAATATAATACTCACTTCATCTGTTTAACGATGGTACTCTTGCCAGATTCACCAGCTCCTGGAAAAAGAAAAAAATAGAAAAAATATAGAAAGTAAGTAAAAGAAGAAATGAGATATTATAAGAGAGAGAGAGAGAGAGAGAGAGGAGAGAAAGAAAAAGAGATAACAGCAAAAGAGAAACGAAATTATAGGTCGAGGAACGGAGGAACGGAGGAACGAAATCGAAAAAGTATTTACTTCCGATAGACCGTAAAATTCTTGTATAAATAGACTATTTCCCTCAGACCCAGAAAACTCCACTTTTTTTTTTTCTTCCCATCTATCTGAGCATCCTCTTCGTCTATAGATGGAAAGCAATCAAGTCTGGGGAATAAGGTGAGAGGAAAATAAAAAAAAAAGGGAGAGAAAGAAAATCTACTTCTATTTCCTATTTACTATACCTGTTCCTCTAACTAATTCTCACCCTCCTCTCTCCCCCATCTATCCCACTTTTATTTACTATTTCTATCTCTTTCTTACTAACTCCATTTCTCATCTCTTACAGTTTCTTATTTTCTTACTCCCAACTACTCATTCGCTTACACACACACACACACACACACACACACACACACACACACACACACACACACACACACACANCACACACACACACACACACTCATTCATTCATTCATTCATTCATTCATGTATTCATTCACTTACTCTGTCACTCTCTCTTATGATTATTCATCTTTTTCACTTTCTCTTTCTCTTTTTCTAGTAATTAATCTTTTTCTCATTTTCACTTATATATATATATAAAAGTTGAAAAATTAAATATATTATAATTAAATTTGTTATATATATATATATATAAATAATAATATATTAAAATTAAAAATTATATAAAAATTTTTATTATAATATATATTTTATTATATAAAATATATTAATTTTTATTATATAAAAATATATTTAATACCTAATAATAAAATATTAAAAAATAATATTAATTTATTTCTAATAAAATATTTATAAAATTATTTTATTATTATAGAATATAATTTATTTATTAGAAAATATATAAATTTATTCAAATAAAATTGCACCCTATGTTCTTTACAATTAAATATTTGATTCGTATATATATATAATATAATATAATAATTAAGCAATTAGTTGTTTTTCGCGTTCACAAAGTAAAATATTTAAAAACTTGATATCATTGGATAGATAAATAAAACATCAGAACACACATATTTGTTTTGATCCTGTTAAACGTTTCATCCTTTGAATTTTTTTTTTTTTTTATTAATTAGAAACACTTTCTCCGTTTAAAAGAATTAAGATTTAGTCCTATTGTTTCTCAATGTAATTATAAATGTGTCATTTTATAACCGGATATGACATGCCAACAGAACTTGCTTTTCCTGCTTACCGCAAGCCCTCCCCCTCTTTTAAAAGCTCTTTCAGCTTAAGTAGCCGCCTATAATAGCTACTCGTGGCTGAAGCAGTTTAATATCGGCCGAATACACGATGACTTGTGAAGTGTGTGTATGTGTGGATGTGTATATGTTTCGTCCTATCCTTTTCTTGCCTTTTCTTGTCTTTTCTTTCCTTTATTTTACTTTACTGTGAGAGAGAACCAAAAAAAAAAGCTTTGGAAAAAAAGAAGTCATCGTTTTTCGTGACGACAACGATGCGATCACTTGTTATCACTTCACATGGAAAAACATGAAAAAAAAAAAAAAAAAAAAAAAAATAAGAAAAAAAAGCTCGTGTAAATACCTGGATTATGTGTCTCTATAGAAAAACACAGTGTTTCTCAACTTACAAATATTTATCGTATATTAGATACATGTATATATAATTGTAATATGTAATTATAAAATAATTCACACAGTAATTCTAATCTATCATCCGATAATATATCCTAAAATCGGAAGAAGAAAGTAATTTGGTTGAAATAAAATATTCAAAAAGATTGGTCACTGAAATGACTTTATTCTCGAGAATACCGTAGTAAACTAAATTTAAAAAAGAAGAAAAACAACGTAAATGTTATAAACATTTGAATTATTTTATAACAAGGATAGAATATAATTTTATTGCGTTGAATGTGGTTNAAAAAAAAAAAAAAAAAAAAAAAAAGAAGAAAAACAACGTAAATGTTATAAACATTTGAATTATTTTATAACAAGGATAGAATATAATTTTATTGCGTTGAATGTGGTTTTTATTAAAGATGAGAACACACATTCTGCTACAAAATATTTTATTATCATCGATGCGTATAAACGCTAACTGATAGATAGATAAAAAATGGAAAAAGAGAGAGAGAGAGGAAAAATGACAGATAGAAGGGGAAAAGAAAAGATCGATCGATTAATAATTTGTAGATTTCTCGTTGGAGGTAGACTCCTGGTGCTTACTCACCCTTAACCTCGCCTATCTGCGTTGTGAAAACGATCGATCGAGGTCTCCGGCTGCTTTTCTTTTTCCTCTCTTTCTCTCTCTTTTTTCTTTTTTCTTTTATTTTATTTTTTTCTTTTTTCTTTTTCTACTCGATAATATACTATTGTACCTATACACACATGAATATATTTACATGTCATTCATATACATGACGCGATGTCCTACCGCAAACGTGTTTTAACATTATATTCCTTTTGTTTGTTCTTTTATTTATTTTTTTATCTAAATAAAACGACTATACTACCTTCAATCGTTCCCATTAAAAAAAAAAAAAAAACAGTTACTATCTTTATTTTCTTTTTCTAAAATATTCAAAATTGTCACATCAAAAATACAAGCGTGTTTAATTTCATTTAAAATATATCAAAAGTAGAACGTGTTACGTCTTCAATTATTGTTATCAAATTAATTTCAATGTACTTTTTTACATTATTAAAATATTATTTAACATATTTTTCATTGATAGTTTTCTTCCTTTGTGGATTATTAATTTTATTTTGAGAGATAAGTAATAAGATACATTTAAAATAAAATGTCATAGCAAGTCGTAGGACGTCGTGTGTTCAAATGCTAATAAACACAAATGTCGTCAAAATTATCCTCCCACGTGTCGTGTCCCTTCTATTTCTTTTTTTTCTTTTGTTTATTATTTTATTTTACAACCCAGTCATCCTCAACCCCCTCCTCTCCCTCCCTCTTTCCTGTCTTCCTATTACTGTCCTATTTTTCTGTTTCTCTCCCTCGAATTAAATATGCGCATACCTTAGATACATATGGCGTGCATATGCAACTCGCACGAGTATAACACGCTTTTATACATACGTATCAGGAAAAGAGATCTTTTCCTAGCTCGAACTAGTTTATTTTCAACTCTTTATAGTTCGTGTTACCCATCGTGCGAATATCTACACAACAATGATGTGGTGGTCGTGGTGGTCTACTTTACTTAAACGACTTCGAAGATCTATTAGTTTGAATCTAAACTTTATGCATTAACTTGTTCTCTTTCTTTCTTTCTTTCTTTTTTTTTTTTTTTTCCACGAAAACCAATCATTAATATTTTTTTATCTAATTGCAAATCACCCTATATTATTTTTCTAATATATATTTTATATAAACTAAATCTTTTATCCTAACATTTGAAATTTTGTATTTTGTTGTTATTGAGTATCATTGAATTTAAAATAAAAATTGCTCATTAAAGTTATCTCAAATCGTTAAATGTTAGATAATATCCAATGCCATCAACATGCATGTAAGATTGGTATGTCATAGGTCAAAATGTCTCTCTCTCTCTCTCTCTGTCTTCTTCTTTTTCTTTTTTCTTCTTCTATGCAACGAAGGTTAAACCCGTTTCTTAAAGGTCAATACTAATTTGCTGAAAAGACTTGCACGAAATGTTTTGTTTAAAATTTCATGATATTGATATGCATCGAAAATTCAAGAAATCATTTATCTTTTTATCTAACAATAATCGCACACGATATCACGATAATAATCTAAACAAACGCATATTTACAGAAATATGAATATATATATATATATATATATACACACAAACACATAATGCGGAAATGTGAAAGTGAACGTGTGGAAGATGTAACTTTGTTTTTACGTGTAATTATCTGACAACCCACGCAAAATTGTTTCTACACGATGACGCTATTTCGTTCTACTCTATGGTTTAGTATTTTACGAGCACGAACGACGATGAGTAGAATTTAACGAGCTAGAACGAAAATTTCAACGAGTCAAATCGCTTAGGGACTGGCAAACGAATTTAACGTTCAATGTATTTTACTTGAAGGGTAAGAGTGAATAGAAAGTTTCACATATGTGTGTTTATAGATATATATATTATATTGTAAATGTGTGTTGTGTAAAAAAAGATCGATTGACGTATCGTTAACGTCATATTTTCTACTCTTACAAGCAAGACATAAATGTTTATGTGAATATACGTTTTTTACTTGTCCTTTTATATACTTGTACGTGTATGTGTATACATATGTGGTCTTTTAGCAAACGTTTTATCATAGGACAAGAAACTATAGTCTATTTTCTTTTCTTTTTGGATCTTCGATAAAAGAGGGGAAGAAGAAGAGAAGGTATAAAACACAAGGAGGTCATTCAGATCGCGTGTTGATGCACTGTGTGCCAAGAATATACTTCCTTACACCTGTTCTATGCGATGACAATAACGAGACACCGAGATCACACGTTGTCTAGTTTTTACAGTCTCACACCAAATTTTATCATCTCAACGATCTTTTTATCTTATAGTAAAGAGAAGATTATAGAGGATAGAGATAAGAAAAGTGAGAGTTTTATACTGTGTTGATTTTATTTACCTGCCATATTAAAACTGTAAACGTGCTACCATTTTTTATTTCAATAATTAATTGTATTTTTTTTTTTTCTTTGTAAGTTTTGTTATTTATTTTATTTTTGATTTTTATGTAATACTAGGATGCTCAGGCAACGTTTTGTTGTAGTTTTGTTATTAAATGTTGATTTAATATAATTTTAAACTATTTAATAAGTTATAATAACAAAAGAATAATACTACGATTAAAATCGAATACATAAAATAATAATATA